ACTTGCTCATGACCTTCGCCGACGTCTCGGACCCTCCCGCCTTGAAGGTGGTGGATCGAGCTGGCATACCCTACCACGGCGTGTACCCTGTCAACAACAGCTGCCTCTTCAGCACGAGAAAATCGGCCCAGCTCTTCTGGGAGGAAATGATGATGAGCATGAAGAAATATTTCGATATCTTGCTTGATACAGAGCCGGTGAGCACCAAAATGACCTATGAAGTCCTCCAACACCGGGAGATCATCGAGAAGAACATCCAAGAACTACAGGAAAAAGTATTTGAAGGTCAGACCGACGATACACAAAATATTCTATTTAATTTTATTTCAATGAGGAGCTAAATTTTCTAGCGTAGATAGTTCGCTTTCTTTAAAAATGAAATGCATTGTTGGGTGTCCTACTGAGTATGCCAAATTCGGAAAGAAAGCAATATTTCCCCTAGAAATTTTCACAATTACAGTATATAAGACCATATACGTTCTCGAGTAAAATAATGCATCAAAATATTTGCTAAATGTGGCGTTCGATGAAGCTGGGACTCCCAGAACCTTTTGCAAATTTATAGCCATTTTAACCTGTCATTAGCTAGGATGCACGTCGAGTGATGAAATGCAAATACTCATTGGACGAATTGCGGAGAAGTGACTGAAGGAAGCGCATCAAAAGCTATTTCCAATGCCTGCTGATCTCGCATCTTCCCAATGGGGCAATATGACTTCGAGGCAACATGAGTAGCAATATGAGTGACATTATGACCTTGAGGCAGCTGCATGAAACTTGGAATTCAAATAAGGAAACATTCGTGGCCAGAACCGCCACGTCTGCCATGTCAATTAAACTGGCATATCTTGAGCAAAAAGAATCTTATCATACTTTCCGCGTTAGATTAAACTTCGAGTGTAAATTGATATTGGCTCACATGGTTTTCCGAGTCGAATGATATCCCTCTGTGGTGACAGCCAAAATTGATGGAATGGAAGGGTATATACTCCGGCTCAGCGTAAATTTATTAATACTTCCTCAGGAGGATATGGAATCAGGTGGATGCGTCATTCCATGTGAAGTGGCCCAAAGGTGGTTGCTGCACCGACTGGATTTTCTGCTGTTAAAAGTCACGTGTACTGGGGGTCATAAGAAACGGATGAATCCGAAATTTCAGTGGTCTAGGTCCAACAGCCTTTGAGATATGCCCTTCGATAGTTTCAGAAGGAAGGGTAAAATGACCCCTCAAACAAATACAATATCTCCCAAACTACTTCAGCTAGAAATATGAATAATAGCTCATTTCAATGCAAGTAGCCCGGCATCTTCAACTTTCTCTGCTGTTTCTTCCGTGCCTTAATTGGAAAAATGTTACAGCTTATTCATGCAATAATCAACTTTTCAACTTTAAAAAATTCGCTGTAGAAATGCGTATAACTCTACCAGCTTTGGGATATCTATCATTCTCTGTGAGATTGATCGAAAGAAAGCTGTATTTTGTTTTTAGGTCGCTTCAAAATTCTGCTTTGTGTACTTAAAGTTGCATATTTTGCCATATTCCTTCAACTTTGACCTGTGTTCAACTTTTCTTTGATTCCAAGTAGTTTTGCTTATGCCATGGAATGATAGATCTCTCTAAGCTCATTCGAGTCATATAAGATTTATTGTGTTTTTCTTAAATCCTGATCGCTCAGAAAAATATTTTCCTCGACATCTCGAGACCTCATCAAGCGCTCAACTCCATCTCGATCATGTTCGAGCAGGAAAACGTACTTGACATGATTGGTTGAACATGGTTTGGGAAACACGTGTACATTTTAAAACCGTTATACTATTTAAAATTGCATTGAAATTTAACTTATTATGAACTCGAAAATTTAAAGACATTGCCCAGGTTTTCAGATATACCATCAACAACATCTCTATATTCCGCTGCCCGTTTCTCTGCCTGCATTCCATATCCAACTCCTATCCGCCCGTCATCCGCCCTCCTTTCAATCGCGTAGATCGCAGACGAACCTTTTGTGAGGGTATCAGGAGAGTTAACATTCGTTTATCCTAAATTTTCCTGAAACGGGATAAGTGTGTTTCTGGCATGTGATAGAGATATATCGTGGAAATCACATCCCAGTTTGATCGAATTCAAAGAGAATACCCCTGACCTCAACTGGATACGTTTCTCAAGTGCAAATACGAAATGAAGTATCAGACATGTAAAGAACAACCCATTCCAATTGGGTTAACTTATGGTGTCTGCTCCCAATAACACAGGGTGTCCCAAAAGGTATGGAAACACTTAAAAAATGAATACCTCATTAAATGATGCCCTAAATAAAATTATGAAAATAGTAAAATGAAGTGCAACTAAAACCTGTTATTGCAATTCCACATGGGCACTATTTGTGGCTCTGTAGACTTCCAAATGATGTTCAAGCTCTTACCACAACTTACACAGAGTGTCATGTATAAAGGTCTAGATAGCTGCATCAGTTCTGTTCTTCAGATCATATTGAATATTACTTACTAAGGAAAAGTTGACAATGTCCTTGACATAGCCCCATAATCGGAAAAAAAGCAAGATGGATGGGTTCTGGCACAAAAAGTCTACTTTTCCAAGATGTTGCAACTCCACTTTTAGCAAGCTAAGGCATGGAAAATAAAATAGATCTGTGGATTGGACAGAGCAGGTTTATTCCATTGTCAAGATCACCTGAACAAACCCCAGAGGACTTTTTCTTGTTGGCTATGTCAAGGATATTGCTTACTGGAGAAAAGTGGACAATCGATCAGAATCAAATGAACAGAATCGTTCGAGCTGTCCTAATAGTTATGCCTCACTCTCTGCAAAAGGTGTGGTAAGAGCTCGAACATCGCTTAGACATCTATAGAATCGCATATGGTGCCCATGTGGAATTGCAATAGCAGGTTGAAAAATGTTTGAGTTGCAGTTCCTTTTCCTGCATTTAATTATTTTATTTCAGTTGTAATTTAAAGAGATATTAATTTTTGAAAAACTTCCAAATCTTTTGGGACACCCTGTCTAGGATATCATCCAGTGTAACGATTCTGATGACCCCTACGTATAATAGTTTCAAGAAGAATAATAAATCGTCGACAAGTGTAGATTTGAAAGACGCTTACGCAATTGTGTTTCAGGACTGCAGGCGCTGGGTCTCCTCCAAGACTCGTACGACGCGGTCAAGAAGACCAGCTCGAAAGAGGCGAGCAAGCAGAAACTGATCAACATCGCGAAACGCTTCCGAGCCACCCAGCTGGAAGTGCACAAGCTCATCCTCGAGTCGCACGCCAGCTTCTCCAAACTAGAGGAGATCGCCCTGAAGCCCGAGGCCTTCACGGCGATCGACTACATCGACCTTCTCATCAAGAACGAGGAGCGGAACCCCCAACGGGTGCAGGCGCTTATGGCCTCACGCGAGGCGGCCAAGTGGACGGCCGAGATCAGGGAGAATTCGGATTGGAATCCCTTTGATCGGCCGCTTGAGGACTTGAAGAAGCTTGGACTCGAGATCAAATTTGACGACGAGGATTGCGACGTCCGGGTTCTCTTCCAAGAGCCCAACGGATTTATTAGATTTCTCAAAAAATTCTCTCGTCGGTATGAGGATCCTTACTTATTATTGATATCTCGCTCCATTTCCATTGAGTATTTAATAAATCTCACACTTATTTTATGGCTCCGGATAAAGAGTCATGGATGCAAAGCCCTTTGAGTTTTTTTTTAAGTTGGATAAAGTTGGAAAGTCTAATGTAAAATATGTTTAGTCACATGGTAGTTCCCTATCATTCATTAAGTTAGTCATCCATAAAAGGCCAAATTGCGTACATAATCTCAGTAGCTCGTTTAACATCTAGAAACCATGATTTTATATAATTAAAAAATCCGATTGATACGATAAACAGATACTTTCGAGTGTGATTTGCTGGAAATCTTCGACAATCTTTTCCTTCAAGTCATCAATGCCCGTAGGTCGTTGAGCATAAACAGTGTTCTTCACGAAACCCCATACGAAGAAATCTGGTGGGGTCAAATCAGGTGAATTTGGGGGAAAAGCATTGGGTACGTCGATGTGCCTTCACTACCATCTTTGATGCTGCCAAGCTATGAGTTGCACGCATGCGCGGTTCCGTTCTGGGGTGAGTTGCATAATAAACTCCCAGGTCTCAAGGACAAACACACGAGACATGAGAAAGGGAACACTCATAGTTTTGTTTTTACAAGTTTTACTTTTATTCAAACCCAAATGGAACACCCTGTATATTGATATATATATAAGGTATCTCCTTGTGGTTGGGTTGGCCCGATGAACCGACTCTGTCCACGGAAAATCCTTTTGTCGGTCAGCTCGAGACTTAACTAAGGGATTTAGTGAGGCCAATAGTGACATGAAATGTACTTTCCCTCCCGCGACACGGCAGGAATCGATGTGAGACACCCTTCCCTGGATTTCTTTCGTGACGGACTTAATGACATCCCTCCCCGGCTAGTGCACCACAAACATCCCTTAGGGGGATGTCCGCCATTTCCAGGAGTTGTTTGATTGAAACCAAGGGATGGGGATGACAGCCGGCTAAAGGTCGGCTAATTTCTTCGAAATCCCTGCAGTCGTGCATAATTAGGCATTGAGTCTAAAGCCACATTTGGACAAGTTCATCCCGAAATTTATACGGGAAAATCCCCTCATCAATTTTTAAATTAATTGATATGCATAGGATGAATAGAAGAGTCCCTTGCATCACCCATCGACCGAATCTCGGATATTTGTATGCAATCCAATTGAATTTGTCATCCTTACTAAAATAAACGAGGGAGAACCGGGTATAACATGCCTAATTTCCGGTAATGTAGAGAAGTCGGGATGAATCAGAGACATTTTGCTGAGGCATTTTGTCTTATCTTGTATGAAAATAACTCCAAATGACTCCAAGTGGGGTCAAATGTTCCCTCTCCCTCACAATAATTCCCATTTCTAACCTCCTCTCTTACAATGAACACAGTTTCAGGCAAAGGGTAATAACGCTATCGAATTGATAAATATTTGATAGGAATGAAAAGAAATTGGCCTTCATCTCACCGGCATCACTTTTCAAGGGGTCGAGTGATTTCGGCCTTCAGCGGTACTCTCCAAAGATATTGCCTTTTCTCTCAAAGGACTCCCAGCCCCAACATCAGGAATCTTCCGAAACGGAGATGTCATAAAACCATGGACAATTACGTGGAATAACCATAAATCGATATTCCGAGTAATTGCCATATTCCAATGCGATAGAGATTCAACGTCTCGTAATTCGACCTGACATTCCAGTCCTTGTACAGCCTTCTGAATTGTTTCCTTTCGCAGATCTTGATTTGGAGCCGGACGTCCGTGAATGCGAGTTTCCACTAGAGAGGCTCCTCGAGAAGGGACCAATTTCCCCATTCAAGACTCCCCTCACTCTAGAAAAACTCCTGCCGCCATTCAGAGACGGAACCGTGTCGAATCTACAGTGACTTTGTATCACTGTATCCGACCGTGGATGTGGTCTTCGGTATCTACTGTGACTAGCAATCTATCTGATATTTTCAGTTCAGGAGATAATTCACTTCTGCCTAAGTAGTGCAGGTCCGGTGAGGAAACTGTGTCGCCAATTGGCAAAATGTTCCTTTATGAAGAGAAGCAAGACACGTCATTACTGGTATTTGTTGTCATTTTGTTCACAAGGAAACATTGTATATCCAAATGAAAACATATTTTAATACCATGACATCGTTTTTTCTCACCTCTTCCGGAGGTTCCGTTACAATGTTAAAATCATCCTGGTGTGGTGCACTGCAGATGTGACGGATTGGCTTGCACAACAATCGAATGTTAACACCCCTTGAATGGAATACCCTGTGTACACGTCAGCATCTCCATTCACTACCTGTGAATTTTCACACCAATTATATTTAACTTCAATGATGTCCTGTTAAGATATATCATTGGAAAATAAAGGAATGCAGGGGGTGCTTGGTCTAAAACTGAGCAAAATGTGTTTAAGTTTACTCGTGCTGATGGGTAAGCATACTTAATGTAGTGGATGACAAGCAAGTGTGCTGATTTCGCGGGAAATCTGGCTTTTCACCTAGATCTTTTTTTTTTACATTTTCTATCTAGGGAAGGTTTTTCAATATCTATATTTTTCCACATCCCCGTGGGGAACATTTTTTCATGCGAAACGTCCCAAATAATGTATTCCGCTGCAGCAAATCGACAGGAACTGAGATTTGCTGCATGCTTTCCCCCTCTCGTTGCCTATTTAAATAAAGTAACTATTTTTTATGAAACTCCGGTGGGTGTATTTTTCCTGTTTCTTCTCAAAATATATATTTTTTCCTCTAAGTAATCCCTTCGCACAAATGGAGTGGTCAGATAATATATGTAAACATCTGTTATATTATAACTTGGGGAACTCAGAAGACAAGAACGCAATTGTATATACCCGTCGTATGCCTGTTTATTCACGCCTGCGTGAGGTAAGCCGACGATTTCCTGAATGAAGGTTCAACATATGACATCTGCGGGAAAATAACGCTGGATACTGCAGAAAATGGAATGTCAAATGTGTGTCTGTTCGTGCTTTAGCTTTCAATCTGTTGAACCTGGAGCGCTAAAAATTGTCATTGATTAAATTGATTTCTTAACATTCCAGCTTTTGCCCTTCTCATCTGACCAAAATTTCTTCGACGTGCCATATTTCTTCCTTTCGTGCGAGAAAAACTCAATTTTGGAGTAACACTTACCAATCACGCCTCAAAACGTGATTCATGCCATCGGATTAAAGAAAAACATGTCCATGGGCTTGATGCATTCGGTGCACAATCTCCAGAGGTATAGGTAAAAGAATGAGTAATGAAATGGTTTCGCTGCAGCCTGGCATTTACTCGAATAAACAATGTTTCCACAAGAGGATAGCGATGGCTAACAAATTGCCGTCATCGCGGGTCACAAGTGCTACAACGACTCGAGGAAGATCCTTTATGAGTTTCGTGGAGATGAAACAAATAGTGCTCTCTCTTCCTGGTAAAAGTGATTTTTCTCAAAAATCTTCTTTGTCAACCTATTTCGATATTTGACCCATTTTTCGGGCGAATTAATTACGTGGTACCACGAACTAGGCAACGTACAGTTAAGAAGACGGAGATCCAATGAGAATGAAGTCTGTCAGTCGTTTGTTGCCGTCTCTCGAGAGTGAGATTTCTGGACTTCATTGCACCAACCACACATGAACGAGTAATCTGTGCCGACATGGGAAGGAATTAGGGAAAGTCTGAAAGGCGTCAGAATCGACCGAACGACAAAAGTGTCCTTTCCAGGCGATGTCGCTTTTTTACTTTGGCACGAGAAGAAACCGAAAGGTGTGTTCTCGTATTTAAATACTTACCGGTAAAAATGGATGCTTGAATTCATCCAGCGTCGCCTTTTCGGGTCGCCTCTCTGGTAGGTCATTTTTTAAATGCCGTCACTTCAAATTTATCAAATCCTTAGTTTGTTTTTCTCTTAAAGGTGCGCTTGAACACAACCGTTTTGGATGGAATCGTTTGCCCCGGTCCTTCGTCTTTCTCTCCCTCGAAAAGCCTCTGCAAGGTTCCTGGGACCCCTATACTGCCATACTGTTGTTCAACGCGATAAGCGGGAAGGAAAGTCAATATTTCCCACTACGGAAACACCGCCGGGAAAGATATTAGATAGGAACCATTTCATTTCTTATCTCGTTCGTTGTCGTTTTACGAAGTTGATTCCAGCGCAGCTCGGATCGTCATCTTTCTGGAGTCGTTCCTGCTCACGACCAGCTTACAATCAGCTCACGACCAGCTTACGATCAGCTCACGACCAGCTCAAGCAGCGACTCGCTTTTCATCAGGTTGGTGAGTTCCAGGGGGAAATTTCGGCTGTATTATGCGCTCATTGTCTACAATGGCAAGGACCTTTTTAAAAAAAAAAGCAGTGTTGCATAGCCATTAGATAAGAATATTATGGGGACTTTAAATTAATGTTTTTTTTCCTGATATACTAGAGGCATGTTGACCCTGCATCTCCTCTTCAAGGATTTGGCTGAGTCGTCAACGGCATTAAAAAAGAATTTCTGAGAACAACACAAAAGCTGCATTACTGTATTATCCCTTATGAATTTTAGACCGTGTTTCTCTGTGAGTGTATTCATATCGGGCGAGTGATGACCCACAGCTTTCTGCAACTCACAATAAGCAATATTGTGATACTAATTACCAATAGTCTACCATTTTCACTGGAAATTACTTTTCGACCAATAGAGTCGAATTGCTTTTCCTCGTCCTTATGCTCTCAAAACGAGCGATATTCCAAATAGTGTTAACTGCGATATCCCGTTGTCCGAGTGGCTGTGGCATTGGGCTGCGACTCGTGGCATTGAGAGTCAATGAGAAACGAGAATCGTCTTCCCCTAACTTCAGAACATTCGCTCGAGGGTTGCATCCCGAGACTTCTTTAAACATTGAGGCACGTTGCTTACATATTTAATTGCTTGCATCTCAACATCCACAGCGCCAATGATGCAGCTCTTTCCGCGCTAAGTAAATACGTTGACCTATGGTACCATGGTAAGATGAAAATGGACCCCCCTGGATCGAAATTCTGCTTTATAATTGTTGTAAAGGACCTGAAGAAAGGGCCTTGGAGCCCATTGCTGGCTCTCTGCGGTCACGCCCGGGACCATAATTTCAGGTCGAAGGTCACAATTTACAAACGTGTATCTCCCCAACCATTGGCCGCAGAAACGTGAAATTCGTGCCATTCTCCTTGGAAGATCTCGCGCTAAATGGAAAAAATAAATACATGCACGTAACCGTCGTCATCGAGACGCCATGGCGCCATAACTGAGAAAATGTCCGTTTTCGGATTCTGTTTTTTCGCTCTCATTCCTAGTAGAAATTTTCTATCGACAAAAGCATGCTACACTTTTTGGAGGCTGTCCTGATCCATCTTTTAGCGGAGTTGTGCATATTGTCCTCTAACCGTTTGCTCTCAAAGTTCGACGATCCACGCGAAAATGCCATGTTTTTGGAAATCACTCGAGGTTGACGGACATTGCTCGAAAACGAAGCCGAAATGCGAAAATTCCTATGATAGATCTCTTAAGAAGTCTCTCGAGAAGCTTCGTGTGGATTTTCATGGGAACCCGTTGGCTATCCTCGGAGTCTATAGTTTTTTGCTGTGGCCCATTTTAAAATCGAGGCCATTTCTGTCCTACCGGATCGATTTCCTTGGTTCATCGGTCGCAAATACCGGATTTTTGGTCCTATCGCTTAGAGATATGTTTCAGGAATCAAATGACACTAAGATTGCTTACTTTCTCCCAGGTGATAGAGAACGCGTGGTTTTAATTCCCGATTTGCACGAAATTTTGAATCCTCGCGCGCAGCTCTTCTTTCTTGGACCTCCCTCCCGACTCGCATCCACTTGTGCGTGCGGGTGATTGTGCGTGTCTGTGTACAAGTGAGTAGCAGGAGAAGCAGGAGACCGACGCGATTTCAACTGGCGCTCATTTCTACAGGGTGGCCCAAAAAAGGGCACTCTTTTTTCAACTCGCATTATTGGTGCGATGCTTTCATGGACATTTCTTCTACTTGCATATAATCTAAAGAAGAAAGACACAGCTGCAAAATGCTTCTTTTCAGATTTGAAACATATTAAAGGATGACTTAAGTAATATTGATTGAATTTCGGTTACGAAAAATCGGCCTTCTGATAAAAAAAAAGCATTTTGTAGCTGTGTCTTTCTCCTTTCCATTATATGCAACCTGAAAAAATATCCTTGAAAGCATCACGCCTAAAATGCAAATTGGAATGAGTGTCCTTTTTTTGAGGCACCCTGTATTGATTTTGTTCTTGTCCCTTGGACGCTTCTCTCTTTTTCTTTTTTCTTTTCATTTTTTTTTTATTTTTTATTTTCAAAGGCCCCGCTTTGAATTCCCCCCTGCTGAGAATCCTGCCGCGTCGCCGCTCTTCCCCCCACATTGTCTTCTCTCTCTAGAAGGAAATTCCAATTCGGTGCGGATGAGTGTCTCCCGCCACGGTTGCTCATTGTTGAGGCATCAAAATGCAGATAGGAAGCAAAAATTTCACACGCTTGACATTAATGAAACTGGGTCATAACACTTCACTAAGAATCCAAATCCAAAGCAACGTGCAGAGAGCTCAAATGATAAAAAACAAATTCCTAGACAGAAGGGCTTTCAATACTTCTTGCCCTCAATATCTCCCAAAGAAAGGTAGCATATTTCAAGATCTTTTGCATCACCAAGATATGAAAAAAGGACCTCATCCGATTGCGGAATTAGTTCCACCCCTGGGCAGAGATCTTCGGAACGAGGTTAATATATTTTGAGTTCTTCACACAGATCCTTCGAGACGACGATGAAAAATGGCTCTGCCGAATCATGCGCGAATGTGTTTATTATCCTCAGACCAAGAACGATTTGACTGAGGCCATGTCGAAGAATCATGCAGCGATCGACCGCGTTTCTCCTGCATTTCTTCTTCCTGCCAAGGACCACGAGGTGCTTTCCTCCGAGACTATGTCATGGTGGAATGACCCGCGATTCAGATGACACCCAAATTGCCTTTCTAGGCGAATCGGTTGCTGAATGATGGGATCTGTCCCAGTTGTGACTGACAGCATATTGTACAATGCGTGATCCTTCTTTCCTGTCTAGACTTGCCCTCCCATGCATGGGAGAAGCAAGACGTTAGCACACCTCTGTCGCGCTATTTTCCTTTAAAACTTTTTTTTTCATGCTCGCCCCTTCTTCCCAATCCATCTCATTCCAACCCGCCCTCCACTTGAAAGAAATCGGCGTTCACACTTGAAAATTTCCAGACGCGAGGCATCCAACATCTCTAATGAATAGGGATGGTAACTCACCCGGTTTCATCCCTTTCCTCCCAACCAATAAGCAAAGAATATTGGGAGACCGTCATTCTTCCGGTTTCACTCCCCGACGAAAAATCGGAAAAGAAGTTAGACTTCTTTTTCTCTGGCGGCAATTTCTATTGCATTCTTTCCAGTACGTAAGAGAGTATTGGTCGACGACTACCACTAACCCCGAAAGCTTTTTTTTTTAAATAGGGGCAGCCGTGGAAACGTACCTGTTTTTTGTAACACCCCCTCCCTCCCCCAAACCCTCGTCAGTTGACCTTTGACAAGGAAAGGAGTTTCAAGGTCTGACTTTTCGAAATCTTCATTTTTCAGATAAATTTATTATCTTTTGTTTCTTTGCATGCGGTCTTTTCCCTTTATTTTCATTTTCAGAAAAAGAAATTACTCTCCTATTTTTTGGCGATGAAAACAGCGATCAACCCAAGGCGAAGTCCATTCCTCTCGTGAAGACTTTCTAGCGCTCGGAGAAAAAATGGACTGAGCATGTAGTACCTCATGTACTGAATGTGGAAGGAGCGGTTACAAGCGTTTTCGTCGCAGCCAAAATGGTCGCGGATAGTTCGTCGCGCACAAAACGTCGCATGCACTTTAGGTCGTTGCACTCTTTCGTCGCAGGCAAAGATAGTCGCACTCTCCTTGTCACGAGGGCAGATCTTTCAAATCTCTAATGATTCCAATGGATTATGGAGAAGCTAAGAAAATGTCATTGTACATTTCCTTCGAAATTTCAGAACACATTTCCCATATATAAAACTTGAAGATGCAGATGAAAGGGGGACCAGAAGTAAAGGGTCCATTTTGTAAGTTGCTCCTGGAAATGGGGTCGGGGACCAAAAGGTGAGGGGTGGGTTACAAGATATGAGAAGGGCAAGGTAGAAAGGGAGGAGGGAAGAAAATTCATTTCTCATATGCACGGTCGAGGTCAAAATGTATGAGGTTGAACGTGAATGCTACTGCCATGCACGTCTTGGCATGTGAGAGAGGGGAAGGGGAAGAGGTAGACTGATGCGAAAATGCACTAGAGTTCCGTTGACCTTGTCGTTTGCTGACCGATTTTAGGCACAATAACAGAAATAAATCACACTGCTCGGAAACCGGTTCACCTAGAAAGACGATTCATTATAGGCGTCATCAGAAATTGTGGGTAAAACCACCACACTGTAGAGGAAAACAGCTCGTGTTCGTTGGCGAAAGAAGAATGGATGCAGGAGAAAGGCGGCTGATTGCTGCATGATTTCGACATGCCCTTGGTCAAATCGTTATTGGTCTGAGGATGAAACAACAAATTCGCTATGATTCGTCAGAGCCATTTTCCACGGCCGTCTCGAAAGATCTACTTAGAAAAACTTAAATCCTTATTCTCAAGATACTCGGTTCTGAAGTTCCAAATAACTACAAATTAAAATATATTCCCGCTAATTTTGAAATGCATCCCAAGAATTACCTTCAACATTGGAGGGGAGATAAAATTGGAGGCAACGTCCACGATATTCATTTGTGTCTTTCTCGATGAATCAGGAATGACAGATTTAGGGATGAGATAAGCCAGGTGCAACCAGACGAAAGTTGCGCAAAATGCATTCCGCTCCTAAAATCCATCAGAGCAACGTCAATAACTTTACAGCAATATTTAGAAATTCCGAGAAAGAAAATGAAATCAAATTCAACATTTTTCAATGAGAGATGTGAATGTGAGTCTCTGGAGTGACCCACCCAAATCCCGAGCCACGACTATATGGCTATAATGCCAATTTTCCCTGTGGATATGGAAACAAATCATGATGTTTCAGGAGTGGTATTATTTCTGCCGATATAGCCGAAATTTGAGGTGATTTTCCCCACAAACACCCAAGGAGGCATTCCATGGAAACCCATACGGAGATCGCGATAATAAATAAATTTGTTCCTGCAATCCAGAGACTCGTCTCTATCGATTGATCAGAGAACATTTCACAATGTATGTTATGAAGGCGGGAAAAAAAACATGAAAAACCCTAGGGAGTTACGTTTTTTGCTTTGATATCGTTCACATTGCATTACCTTTCTTCGAAATACCATGTTCAAGGTTCGTGAGCTTTGGTATACAGTTCAACCAAGAGGTATTCTCAAGTCGCATAGATAATTATCTCTGTGGTCAGAATGATAGCCAGGAAACTGCTTTGAAAATTATAATTATTTGTTATACGGGCTCTTGGTCTTTGACCTTTGAAGTCAGCTTGAATCTTAATTCCTCGTTTGAGATTCGACTGCATCGTCGATTTTTCGATTTACTTATTATGGTGTTGATGGGGCGAACCGTTTCCGAGTTGTTTTCATTCGACCAGTCGAATGGCTATCAAACAGCAAATTAAACAGCAAATTAGCAAGGACATATGACTAACTATATACCACATGCTCCCGTACTCAACAAAGGGCAGTGGAGGGCTGACTCGCTTCTCCCTCCTTTATCTCGAAAACGTTTTAGTTTCGGAAAATTCTGCCTAAACAAGACTTGTAGTCCAGCGTCTGCCATAGCCAGTGGTATACTTTTTTATTTTTGACAATATTTAAGTGAGATAAATGTACACAAGGGATAATGCCTCCATGATTTACCCCCCTTTCAATCAGGCGCTATCCTTCTCCTCCATACATCTCGACGGTGAAACACTTGAAGAAAAATCACTTTCTGGAAATATTTGTAGTCTAGATTCCACCCTAACCGGTGGTATAAATATTGAAGCTGTGCGGCTTCATTTTAGTTTCATACTCCCCAAATAGAACCATCCTCAATCTCATCTCTCCCAGGAGGTCAGGTAACGTTCCGTCTCTCTCGAGCATCTCTAAAATGGCGTGTCTCATGAATCAACTTTTTCAGACAAGTTTTGCAGCTCAAAGTCCATTCTAGTCTGCGGGATGCGTTTCATTTCAAAGGAAAGAGGAGACCTAAGTTGAGAAACTCCCCTTTGCGAACGTCAAATATTCGATTTATCATGATCAGGAAAAGCAGTAATCTCGTGAAAATCGTTACCCTTGGCGCCTTAGATTGTGTACTGCCTGCAAGAGGATTGAGACCGAAAATACATGAGTCACAGAAATTCTTAATGATCCTTAGTGTAGGAAGTGCGGCGGCTCCTTTTTCGACTGAGGAAGGGTTAGCGCCAGGAGCCAGTGAGACTGGGGAAGAGAGGGGAAAAAAGGCGAGGGGGAAGTGCGTGCATGCGACAGGGTCCCGGGGCAGGCGAAGGAACATAGGAGAGTGAGTCGGGAGGGAGGTCCAAGAAAGAAGAGCTGCGCGCGAGGATTCAAGATTTCGTGCAAATCGGGAATTAAAACCCCGCTTCTCCATCACCTAGGAGAAATTAAGCAATCTTGGTGTCATTTGATTCCTGAAACATATATCTCTATGCGATAGGAACAAAAAATGCAGCATTTGCGACCGATGAACCAAGGAAATCGACCCGGTAGGACAGAAATGGCCTCAATTTTAAAATGGGGGACAGGAAAAAACGATTGGCTCCGAGGATAGCGAACGGATTCCCATGAAAATCCGCACGATGCTTCTCGAGAGACTTCTTTAAAGATCTATCAGAGGAATTTTTGAATTTCGGCTTCGTTTTCGAGCAACGTCCGTCAACCTCGAGTGATTTCCAAAAACGTGGCATTTTCGCGTGGATCGTCGAACTCTGAGAGCGAACGGTTGGAGGAAACTATGCGCAACTCCGCCAAAAGATAGATCAGGACGGCCTCCAAAAAGTGTAGCATGCTTTTGTCGATGGAAAATTTCTACTAGGAATGAGAGCGAAAAACAGAATCCGAAAACGGACATTTTCTCAGTTATGGCGCCATGCCGTCTCGATGACGACGGTTAGATGCATGTATTTATTTTTCCCATTTAGCGCGATATCTTCCAAGGAGAATGGCACGAATTTCACGTTTCTGCGGCCAATGGTTGGGGATATACACGTTTTCCAAGAGATGTATGTAAATTGTGACCTTTGACCTGAAATCATGGTCCCGGGCGTGACCGCAGAAAGTCAGCAATGGGCTCCAAGGCCCTTTCTTCAGGTCCCTTACAACAATTATAAAGCGGAATTTCCATCCAGGGGGGTCCATTTTCATCTTCCCATAGTACCTTAAAATGATTATTTTGTCCTCCTTTAGAAGGATGGCCTCGTTCGTGTGTGTTCTGTCCTACGAGGGAAAGAGCAAGAGGGAGTTCCTGAGCAGAAATGCAAATTTATGCGAGGAAGCGAGAAGAATCTTCAAAATCCCTGCGGACATGGAGGTGAAGCTGGAATTGCTTCGCGATGGCATTTTTTCTCCGCTCGGGAGTCCCGATGATATTCCAACTCAGGGAGCCACCCTTCGCGTCGTCGCCACCAGAAATTCAGATTCTCAGTGAGATCGTGACTGGTTTTTTTTACCTTTTTGGGCGTTTCCGAGTCATGCTGCAGATTGGCTGAAACGCAACTCATGTTGTATGTATGGTTTTTACTGTAAACAGTGGAAGAGCAGAACAGGACACAAGCGAAGGGGAATCAGGCCTTTGGGAGGAGTCCACCTTCATAGAGCAGATAGGGGAGCTGAAGATCTACGAGCCGAGGAAGAGGCTGACGATGATGGATGAAGAGAACAGATTGCTTGTCTACCATGTGGGAAAACGAATGATTCCGATTCATTCTCACGGCAAGGTCATCCTTCTAGCTGGGGCCACCGGAGCAGGTGAGGTTCATGTGTTCTTTGTGAATCTTCATGAGAAAAAAGTGGGGAAATGTAGTTTTCCTACTTAAAAAAGAAAAACCTTTAAAAAACGGAGGTTTTTGTTTAAAAAAGAAACCCTTTTGGGCTATAGAACACGTGTCCTTCATGGTATGAGATCTTAGAAATATGGGGAATGAGGATGGGGAATGAGGATGGGGAATGAGGATGGGGAATGAGGATGGGGAATGAGGATGGGGAATGAGGATGGGGAATGAGGTGCTGGAATCTCTCAATTCAGGTTTTCGCTCCTTCAAAAACAAAAATAAAAATCGATTGTAGAATATGTTGTATCTTTCCTCCACACCTGGGAGATCCGTTGTCGACGCTCTTCGCCAAGGGATTAGTCCTACTCCTGAAGCACACGGCGATTACCTATCGGATACGAAGCAACCTACTGGAAGTGCCTCATTATAATTTATGGTGACAGATCAGCGAATATCTTAAGACCGGTTGTAGAAGGGGTTCCCGTTCCATTTGCGCTGCAAAGAAACACCTTGCAAAAATTCGGGTTTTTTCCCTGTCTTTATAAGTCACCGTTCGCATGTACTGGTATAGTGCACAGCAAAAGTCACATNTTGAATTTCGGCTTCGTTTTCGAGCAACGTCCGTCAACCTCGAGTGATTTCCAAAAACGTGGCATTTTCGCGTGGATCGTCGAACTCTGAGAGCGAACGGTTGGAGGAAACTATGCGCAACTCCGCCAAAAGATAGATCAGGACGGCCTCCAAAAAGTGTAGCATGCTTTTGTCGATGGAAAATTTCTACTAGGAATGAGAGCGAAAAACAGAATCCGAAAACGGACATTTTCTCAGTTATGGCGCCATGCCGTCTCGATGACGACGGTTAGATGCATGTATTTATTTTTCCCATTTAGCGCGATATCTTCCAAGGAGAATGGCACGAATTTCACGTTTCTGCGGCCAATGGTTGGGGATATAAACGTTTTCCAAGAGATGTATGTAAATTGTGACCTTTGACCTGAAATCATGGTCCCGGGCGTGACCGCAGAAAGTCAGCAATGGGCTCCAAGGCCCTTTCTTCAGGTCCCTTACAACAATTATAAAGCGGAATTTCCATCCAGCGGGGTCCATTTTCATCTTCCCATAGTACCTTAAGATGATTATTTTGTCCTCCTTTAGAAGGATGGCCTTGTTCGTGTGTGTTCTGTCCTACGAGGGAAACAGCAAGAAGGAGCTCCTGAGCAGAAATGCAAATTTATGCGAGGAAGCGAGAAGAATCTTCAAAATCCCTGCGGACATGGAGGTGAAGCTGGAATTGCTTCGTGATGGCATTTTTTCTCCGCTCGGGAGTCCCGATGATATTTCAACTCGGGGAGCCACCCTTCGCGTCGTCGCCACCAAAAATTCAGATTCTCAGTGAGATCGTGACTGATTTTTTACCTTTTTGGGCGTTTCCGAGTCATGCTGCTGATTGGCTGAAACGCAACTCATGTTGTATGTATGGTTTTTACTGTAAACAGCGGAAGAGCAGAACAGGACACAAGCGAAGGGGAATTAGGCCTTTGGGAGGAGTCCACCTTCATAGAGCAAATAGGGGAGCTGAAGATCTACGAGCCGAGGAAGAGGCTGACGATGATGGATGAAGAGAACAGATTGCTTGTCTACCATGTGGGAAAACGAATGATTCCGATTCATTCTCACGGCAAGGTCATCCTTCTAGCTGGAGCCGCCGGAGCAGGTGAGGTTCATGTGTTCTTTGTGAATCTTCATGAGAAAAATGTGGGGAAATGTAGTTTTCCTACTTAAAAAAGAAAAACCTTTAAAAAACAGAAGTTTTTGTTTAAAACAGAAACCCTTTTTGGCTATAGAACACGTGTCCTACATGGTGTGAGATCTTAGAAATATCTGATAAATTCTCTTGTCACTATCAGCTTTTTCACCTATAGGAGGTTCCGGGACGAAGGAAGAGGTGGAGGGATGGTGGGAGAATGATGAATTATTGGGGAATGAGGATGGGGAATGAGGATGGGGAATGAGGATTGGGAATGAGGATGGGGAATGAGGATGGGGAATGAGGATGGGGAATGAGGACAGAGGTGAAAGGGTGTACATGCATTGTATTATGCCAGTCGCGACCAAAACTAAGAATGAAAGGCAATCAAATGAAAGTGAGTCGACCTTTATGTATCCTGAGAACCCTGTTGAATATACATATGTGACTTATGCTGTGCACTATACCAGTACATGCGAACGGTGACTTATAAAGACAGGGAAAAAACCCGAATTTTTGCAAGGTGTTTCTTTGCAGCGCAAATGGAACGGGAACCCCTTCTACAACCGCTCTTAAGATATTCGCTGATCTGTCACCATAAATTATAATGAGGCACTTCCAGTAGGTTGCTTCGTATCCGATAGGTAATCGCCGTGTGCTTCAGGAGTAGGACTAATGCCTTGGCGAAGGGCGTCGACAACGGATCTCCCAGGTGTGGAAGAAAGATACAACATATTCTACAATCGATTTTTATTTTTGTTTTGAAGGAGCGAAAACCTGAATTGAGAGATTCCAGCACCTCATTCGTCAAATATTTTAAGCTATCACATGTCTCTAGAACAGTTTCCCAATAATTGAAAGCCAGTCCTTGGTCCCAATCCGCTCAGACGTGAAATCGAAGGCCGAACCTCCCATCCTCCCCTCCTCTCCCCTCCCCTCCCCTCCCCTCCCCTCCCCTCCCCTCCCCTCCTCTCCCCTCCCCTCCTCCTCTCCCATCATCCTCCTCTTACCTCCCACTGCCCTCCCCCTCCCTTCCTTTCTTTGCCTATTCCATATGGGATACGAAAGCTATCCGCGTTGCCATCATTTCTAGTTCCGACTATTGCAAATAACAATGACATTTATTGCATCTGTTAAGTCTTTCGGCTCTTAGCTTATTTCAAACGAATTAACATTTCCTCCTACTAAATTCCCTCGAAAGAATATGTTTTTGTATCGGCTTCAGATTTCATTTCAGTGTGCATTTCGATTTAATGACTTCAGATTTCATTTTTATATCGGATGTGATGCCAATCTCTTTCACATCGAAGGGAAGACGGTGCTAGTGAGCACGATCTTAAACTACCTGCTGGGCGTGAATATGGAGGACGTCCAGAGGCTCCGGATGGTGGCAACGGGGAAGGAGGAGTGGAAGAGCCAGACGAGAGACGTCATCGCCTACGTCGTTCACCCGAGGAAGGAGAACCCCCGATTTAAATACCCAGTCACGATCGTGGACACGCCGGGGTTCGGGGACACTGAGGGACTCGACAGCAAAACCTTCTCCATGCTCAAGGCTTTTTTCGATCACAAGGAAGGCATCGACCGGCTCCACTCGGTCGGACTGGTCATTCCTGCCTCCACCGCTAGGTGGACCGCCGGTCACTCCATGATCTTCGAGCAGATCCAGCTGATCTTCGGGAAGGACGTGAAGGGCATCATCGACCTGCTCATTACCTTCGCCGACATCTCGGAGCCTCCCGCCCTGAATGTGGTGGAGCGGGCCGGCATCCCCTACCGCGGCTTCTACAACGTCAACAACAGCTGCCTCTACAGCAGGAGCAAATCGGCCGGATTCTTCTGGAACGAGATGATGAAGAGCATGGACAATTATTTCGGCATGTTGCTGGTTGCCGTGCCGGTGAGCATCACAATGACTCGAGAAGTGCTGCAGCACCGGGAGATCATCGAAAGGAATATCCAGGATCTCCAGGAAAAAGTCTTCGACGGTGAGATAGACGATACGCAAAATATCCAATTTGGTTAAATTCACCTGACGATGAAACTAGATTTTCTAACGCAAAAGTTGGATCTAGTTGTAGACGACATGCTCTTCTTGTGTACCGTAATGAGTACGCTGAAATCAGAGAGAAGGCAAATAACCAAGAAATGGTCTAATGGTGTCAGACGTCGTACAGTTCCGAGTAAACCAACAGGGATGCCAACGTTTATCAAATATGGCTTTGTTGTAAGCTGGAGACCGTTCGAGATTTTTGCAAGAAATTACAGCCCAATTAAATTATATTAATAGCCAGGAAAAACATCGATCGATGAAATAAAATACTCATGGATACGCTGGATTGTCGCATCAGAAAGCACATCGAAAGCTACTTTTAACTACTGCATAGCCAATTTCCCATCTTTGCAAAGGGGCAATATTATTAAGTGGCAACATGAATTAGTGACAATATGACTTTCAGACAACATGAATGGCAATTTGAGCCACCTCTATTACTTTGAGGCAATGAGACTTAGTGGCAATTTTTTTATTATACCAAACTGCTCAGGAGGAGAAAACAAATCGATCATATACGGCACAAAAAAATGTAAGTGACTTTTGATTCACCCTGTATATTAGATATGGTAATATGACTTCGTGCCTATATCCCTTTCTGGTAATATGATTTTGAGGCATTATGAACTTGAAGCAATGTTTCCGCTTGATTTTTGGGACTTCGAGGATCTTCCTCAGCCGATTAGCGGCCATTTCGAAGCGACGAAGACATCAACAGACAGACGCTTTTGGAGGACGAAAAATACGAGCAATTACATTTATTGGTTCCAAGAACAACAGAAAAGGTTTTTTTCTCCAGCGCGCAATTTTTCCTTGGAGTCCCGTATAAAATGCAGGGTGTCTCAAAATTGTTCATCGAAAAGTGAAATTTTTTTATACAGAAAAGTGGTAGATTTAGAGAATTGAAAGTTGGCCTAACTTTATTTTTATACGATATGGGGGGGGGCAGCAAATTAGGAAGCAATTACGATGGCGAAAACAATGCAACAGAAGGCGAAGTGCGTGATCTTTTATGCAAAACTGAACATTGTTGTGTTTGCACAGCATGGTGTTGTACGGAGCAAGTAAGGTTCCGACATAGCAAAGCATTGTGAGTTGGTCCTGGCATTTAGGAAAAATGGAACGGTGTCAAATGAAAAGGGAGCAGACAGGCCACTCACACTGGCTGACGTAGTGGACAAAATTCAGAGGCAATGGCATTCAGAGGCCAAAGAAATCTTTGCGAAGGTGAAGGCACATCCACTTCACGTGAATGCGATTGTTGCGACATGTCAGTGGAATGTTTTAAACAATTTGTTCAATTTTCTCATCTCTAAGGAATATATTTTCCAGCTGATCTGGCTGAGAAGGGTCACTAGGACTTTATTCTCCTTGCTACTGAGAAATTTCCTGAAAGACTGACTTTTTGGAGGTTAGAAAATTCATCGCGGCATTCGTCTCAATTTTCAAACCTTTCAGCATACCCTTTGGCTGCACATCGGAAAAAAATCATGGAAGCTATATTTAATCGACGATTGAGATGAAAATTTGCCAGTCACCATCAAAGGCATCAATCTTCTCATAAGGAAAGTAAAAATGGTGTATTGCAACCGAAAGCGCCTAGGAATGTGAACATTTTGATCATCCCTCGTATGGGGAGGTTTTTTTTGGCAAATTATACATTTATTTTAGCGATTGTTTCAATATATCCGGTAAATCACATACCAGTATGATTGAATTTAATGAAAATATCCCAGACTCCAGCTGAGGTTTAAATTCCGTGTCTGCACCCAATAATAAATCGTTCGACGTAATACAGCTAAATATCCTAACGTAATACTACTAAATATCTAACGTAATAATATTTCAAACAGAATAATAAATCATGACAAGTGCCGATTAGGAAGGACACGTGCACAATTTTGTTTCAGGGCTGCAAGCGCTGGGTCTCCTCCAAGACTCGTACAACGTGGTGAAGAAGAAAACCGGCGCAAAAGCGGCGAGCAAGGGGAAGCTGATCAACATCGCGAAACGGTTCCGAGAAACCCAGCTGAAAGTGCACAAGCTCATCCTCGAGTCGCACGCCAGCTTCTGCAAGCTGGAGGAGATCGCCCTGAAGCCCAGGGCAATCACCGCGGTCGAGTACATCGACCTCCTCATCAAGAACGAAGGCTCGCCCGCGCGGGCGATGGCGCTGAAGGCCTCCCTCGAGGCGGCCAAGTGGACGGCCGAGATCAGCGCGAAGGAGGACTGGGATCCATTCAGCCGGTCGCTCCAGGACTTGGAGAAGATGGGACTCCAGATCACGTTCAACGAGGAGGAGTGCGACGTCGAGTTCCTCTTTCAAGAGCCAAGAGGATTTATTCAATTCCTCAAGAAAGTCTTTCGTCGGTATGTGGATCCTTATATCTTGCTTGTTCCATTTCTATGTAATACCTAAACAACTTTTACTGATGTGATGGGAAGAGAGGATGAGTCGTGCATGGAAACACTTTAAACAGTGTTTCAAGTGGGATTTAGGAAATTTAAGATTGAAAAAGCTGCAGGCATCTGAAAAATTCCATGTTCATTAAATGAGTCAGCAATTAGGAGGCCTTGTTGCATCATATGCTCGCTTTATATCTGGAATGCCTGATTCCTTAGAATTCGAAAACGAGCTTGTCAGACAGTCAAGAGAATATTTTCTATAGGGATGGGGTTCGCCCTAAGAGCCCAAGTTTTGTCCTTTGTGAGCAACTTCTCTGATGACTTCATGGATGACGACTTCACAATTTTTTTTCTACTAGTCTGCAACAGGATTCCAATTGAATAAGAGACAAAACAAGGCACACTGTGAAGCACTTGAAGTATTTAAGTACTCGAATGGTCGTAGGTGAACTACCGCTTGAAGGCGGAAGCAGGAATATGGGTCCAACTCGTAGAACGAGCAGGAGTAGGCCTACCTGCAGGACGTAGCACACGAGGCAGACTGACAAGCTGGACGCGCAGGAGATACGAATGGAAGACGGGACGATGTGCGCGCCTCACACAGACCGGACGTAGACAGCTGCACGGGTACATCTCTTTCGTGGGCCATAGCCGATGCAGGAACGCGGGGTGCACGCTTAAGAAGAAATTTCCGAAGATTACAAGCACAGTTCGGAGAAGACTGTCTGGAGAGGAGAAGTCTATTTGATCGTGTTATAAATTTGAAGACGGCCAAGGATTCCTTGATTATTCCTTGAGCGTGGCCATCCTCCCGAGACTATTGTGAATTCTGCGAACATCCGGCAATTCGGAGAAAAAAAGATTCTGGAGAATCGCCGCGTTACCTCCCAAGATTTTGCAAATGAACAAAACATCAGGATAGGAAGCGTCGAAAAAGTCATCTACATTCACTTGAAGCTCAAAGAGGTGACTACAAGATTGACTGCCAGGAGCACTGACATTCGACAAGAAGGTTAACTCAACACTCGACCACAAAAATTCGGATGCATGTAGGAATTGCCAAAGTGATGGGGAAAAACGTCCGTGTGGGAGGGGAATACCTCAAGAAGGAGGCGTAGTTTCATAGAAATCAGACGAATCATAGATTTTCTGGAATGAAAATTGCAGTTAAGTACGTCGGTATTGAACCGCCTTCGGCTGAAATTGATGCCAGGACGTGTTCAACACCCTTCACGGATTTAATGGGAAGGGATTCCCGACAAGGGAATCCATGAAAATCCCGCATGAGGTTGCCGCCTCACGGAGTTGCTGGTGGATGAAAGCCGAGGGATGGGGATGACAGTCGGCTTCATCTCGGTAAATTCATGGAAATCCGTAGAGACAAAGTTCAGAATAATGCCGAATTTTCGCAATCTGCGCTCAAAATTTTTTTTTTTAATGAATTATATGGATTGAATGAATGGAGTCTCTGGCACCTCACATGAAATTATTTCAGGTAATTTTATTCATTTTAATCAAAATTTTTATTATTATTAAAACAGAAGGGGGAAAACCTGGCATAAAAAGAAAATTCCCGCCAATTTCAAGGAGTTGCTTCCTCGATGAAACACGTTGAACCTAGTCTCCAATCGTCTCTAAATGTCTGAGAACGGGGTCACCCATTCTCCCCCTCACAAAACTTGCCATGCGAAATCTTCTCGCAATGTTTCAGCCAAGTGGCTGATTGGGCAACCGCAGAGATCGATTTATGCTTCCGATGAAAAGAAAACCGGCCTTTTACCTCACTGGCGTTACCAATTAAGGGTCCTAAGTGATATCGGCTTTCAGAGGCCACCTTGAACGACCTTAACTTTTCTTTTAAAGGTCTTTTGATCCCAATGTCCTATATGTCCCGAAATTGACATTCTTCAGAGAAACAACACATGTCCAAAGAGCACGGGCAATTGGACGGAATTGCAAAGCCATAGCATATCGTGTACGAGATTCACAGTCTTTTTTTTCAGCCTGCCGTTCTTTCAAGACTTTGTTCACCGGCCTCTATTGTTTCCTTGCGCAGCTCTTGATTTGGTGCCGGGCGTCCATGAATGTGAATTCCCAAAGGAGAGACTCCGTGAGGAGGGAACAATTTATCCATAGAGGACTCCCCTCGCTCGAGAAACCCTCCGGCCGCCATTCACAGACCGAACCGTGTCGAGTCCCGGTGACTCTGTGTCCGCGGTCTTCACTTCCTCCAGTCGTGTCCGCGGTCTTCACTTCTTCCAGTCGTGTCCAAAGTCTTCGCTTCTTTCTGCCGTGGATATGGTCATCGGCATCTACTATGACTAGCTTTCCACATATGATATTCTTATTTCCGGAGAAAATTCACTTCCTCGTGATTCTTCCAGGTCTGATGAGGGACTCAAGGGGAAACTGTGTGGCCGATTGGCAAACGATTCCAATTTTAAGAGGATGATTTCTGCAAGAACACGCTACATCTTCACGTTGCCAATTTACAACGGAACAAGGAACGTTATTATTTCGCGTGATCCTGTTCTAAAGCGAATATTAATTGCATTTCTAGCGGGAAAATGTTCACGTCTTCATTCCATGACATCGTTTTGTTTCCACCTCTTGCAGAGGTTCCACAAAGATAAATATCCTGGTATGGTGCACTGGAAACGTGACGGATTAGCTTGCACAACAATCGAATGTTAACATCCCTTGAATGCAATCCCATGTGTACGCGTCATCTCCATTCACAGCCCAAGAACTGTCAGTGCCTCATGCCTGCCTTCATCGTGTCCATCAATTAGCTACAACTGATGGTGGCGCTGATGGATGCGGCTCCCAGAAGCACCGAGTTTGCTTCGATCTGGGGAATTGAAGTAGACTCGGTGCTTATGGGAGGCTGCCGTGATATCATTGCCGAAGTCGCCAGAGGTGAGGTGGATGCTACACGTGAAGACATGCAATGTCACTTGGAGGCTTCTACGGTGTGCCGAAGTCCTCGTAAATCCTTTCACTTTTCACTGCGCCGCCTTCCCGATCGGGCTCATTGCTGATTGCCTCATTCAAAAAGGAGGTTAAACATATAGCGTTAAACATATATGTTAAACATATAAACATATACCTGGCCGCTAGCTTGGCCGAACGACAATTGTGTGTTCGTGAGTGCGTGACAGCTCTACAGGCCAAGCGTTTCGGGATGTGAACTTGGGGATTCCAAAGAACTCTTCCTTATCAGCCGATGATGTGTCTTCGAGAAATCGATTTTGCTAATCGGCCTTCGTAAAGTAAAGGAGGCAACTTTCACCGTGAATCGGAGATTTGCTCTCGTCTCGCCATCTCTTGGATGAACGAGGAGACGAGAGTTGCCGAGCTAATCGCAAGGGAACGGTGGCATCGCTAACTGCAGTGCCTCCCACCTGCTGCCGGGAATTCAGGGATTTTAAGCGTCCACGATGAAATCCGGGCCGGTTCGTCAGTTCGTGGCCGGTTGCGTTCACACGGGAACCGCAAAAAAAGTACATATCCGTAGTTTCCTCATGGAAGTCCATCTCTCGAAACGCAGAATTTCAGAATTGCAGAATGACGTGCTCTTTTGTGACTGCTTACACCATCTTCAGGCCCCCATTCACATGATCGGGTGCCAAGGATGATCACTGGTTAAATGAGGCCTGGAAGCTTTATGCATGTGACATTGCCCAAGTAGCAAATAGAGTACCTATAATATGTTTTCAAAGAAGTCTTTGGGCGTCCATTGTACAAGAATGAGCACCTTTTTGGAGCACAGTTATGGTGCCGTTTGACCACAAAACATGCTGTATTTCAAGGACATTCGTAGAAGGTTAAATATATTTATCTGACGGCATTGTTATCCATCTGACGATGGCTTGAACCAGAGGTTCGCAAAACCGACGATAGATGGCGCCAAATTAGTCGCTATTCCGGGTTTATTCCCGATTCTGCTGGAATCAGTCCCGATACCTTCCGCAAGGTAGGCAATCTTTCTCCACATAAACCAGAGAGAAAGATGCTTGAATTCTTGAGGACATCGGTCTTACGAGGCAACTCAGTCCAAAGTGTCTCCAGAGAACTCTGGCTTGAAAGATAGAAATAGGATAGTTCAACTTTCAAGATAAATTTCATGGGAAAGCAAGTGAAGCGGATACAAATATTTTAATGAAAATAATTGATGAAATTAAATTCAATGACGGGCGTGTTTGACTCGTGAATAAGTTTAGATATGAAGAAAGTTTCCATAGTATGACTGTTTACTCGTAGCCCCCAGGTTTTTCTTCCAGGCTTTACCAAACAACGGAATGAAGTACTTTCAGCCATCGGTTGAAAGTACTTCATTACTTCATTACATAATGGTTACATTATGGCTTGTGATCCAAGCCACGGGAGCAGGGCTCCATTTGGACTGATTGCGATTCAAGTGAGGAAAGGATACTCGTCGAAAATATTAATTGCATGTTGGATGAATCTTGAAGAAAGAGAGTTTGGAGACCTTTCATTGGAAATGTCACATTCACGTCTTCGATCAATTCGCATCATTCAGGGAACGCATAATTTGACATTTATTTCGCACCTTTGAATTTTGGAAATTTAAGCAACCAACAGAACGTTCCCAAGAACGTTCCTGGAACGCTGGCAATCCCTTCGATGAAACGTTCGTTCAACACGTTCAGGTGCAACTCGGACGGTAGTCTCGGAAGATCATGGTAATAGATTGAGTCTTTCCGAGTTTCTCAGACTTTTCCAAAAACTCAAAATTGCAATGAAACAACTTAAATTGGGCAGTTTCATGCAAGTCGACTTCCACATGGAGCCGCCCACCTTGATAAAAGTTCATCTGGGGGATGCTCGAGTGGATTTCCACAAGTTTCGACATCCACCTGATTCCAAATCCACCTCTTACCTACCTGCCATACACCTACCGTGTATGTATACACCACCTATCCACATGAGTGGATGGACGTGAACGTATTGCACATTTTTCTTACTCGGAGATTTTCTCAATATTTCCCCTGAGATGAAGCTAGCAGTCTCGCATTTGGAAAGCCGTGAAAGAAGAACCCACAAACACACGAAAGGTGAAGTAATTGCAGTCAGTTAGTTCTCGGATAGGGTCAATCAAACCATATATGTGGAGGGCATACCACCGTATCGACTCGCCGCTTCCTCCTTTCGGCCTGCAGTAAGAAGCCGCCCTTGAAAGCATGGAGAGTGCGTAGTATTTTCGTTGCTGCAAGATTTCATGATGCTTGCATCTTCTCGGAAGCATTCCAAGAACAATTTCGCTTCAATTTAAATAAATGTCTCTCTATCCCATTAATTATATGCTACGTTTTACTCATGAATCACCTTGTATGAGTGACCTGAACCGATTAAATCAAAGGTTGCAAAATTTATTTTCTCGATTCACAAGTTTCAATTGTCCCCGATAGTTTAATTTATTTAATATATAATTTAATTTAATAATTTTGTGTAGTGTCACATAATGCTCCCAATTCAGAAGTTCTACAAGGACAACCTCCAACACAATTACCGAGATTGGTACATCTCATTCTTTGTACCAGAGGAATAATAATTTAAAACAATTTAGGCAAGCCCAGTCCAAAAGTGGGCCTCTTTTCAGATAAGGAAACCCTAATTTTGTCACCTAATTGAAGAAAATGCCATCTCTTTCCGGTCCTCGACCATCAAAAACCTCATTTCTCAGTACCATTTGGTAAGCATAAACAAACGGTGCGAAACAATGATGGGAAGATGGAGGGCTGTGCGTGGTTGGATCCATTCGCCACGAAGGTCGGTAGGGAACTGACAGCTCTGGTTGCTGACACGGCGCCGCGCCCAAAGCCTGGGTCGTACGCGCATGCGCATTGTGATCCACATCCGGAAGGGCTCATTGGTTCTCATGCCTTCCTCTCCTTGACCAAATTTCCAATCCAAAATTTGCAATAAAAATGCCAATTTTGGTGCAAATTCGCCGCCAAACAAACTCAGCCTGTATCCAGTTCATACCTACCCTCTAGCCAATTTCCGCATCGATCAGGCCAATCTTTTTTTAGCCATCGTCGGACAACCAGTGTCACACGGACACACAGACACGCGGACGGACCATAAGTGGTCTCTTTCCTTTCAGGAAAGGAGGCCCAGAAAAAATAGATGGCTTGGTAGGAGATACCCATGAATGCCTGGCTGAGGCGCTGGGAATCGGCACGAAGCGAATGCTTCATAAAACGATGATAAGTTTATCTTATCTTGCCTTGGGATTCTTTCGGAACAGTTCCCAGGCAGATTACTCTCACTTTATCTATCGAAACCTTTCCGCCCTTATCTGAAGCACAGTTCCTCATTACGTGGAGGTGTACCGCTGTTTCACAGTCCAGCAACGTACTGTGTTCGGCGGGAGAGTTCGACTCGACTCGTCGTTGGACGCAGCATTGGCGATTTAGCGCCGCCGCGTCGCTTCCGGTGGGGCCGTTTGGGTGAGCCTGGAATTTCTTGCACTCGTGGTAAAACATATACGAGGATTCAAAAGGATAGTTTACGGTCTTAATGCTGTAGTACGGGCATACCGATTGACGTCCTGCTTGGGGTATTGGAAAGTTACAGATGGAAGCCTGCTGGTTGTGATGGCATCACTTTCTATTCCGTCGGTGTTGGCTGGATTCCTACAGTTGCGGATTTGATGATAAGAAATAATTAATAGCCCAGCCTGCTTTCATCGACGATAAACACAAAACGTGTTCAGCGGATACAAATAAAAGATAAAAGCATCCGGCAGTCGTAACGGATTTCGGAGTGGTTACGGCCGAGTTCATACTCGTGCTGTACAGCATGCTGTATGCTGCAACTGCGTACTGTCCAATGGAACACGCCCGTGTTGNCATGCATTTATCATTTAGTACTTATATTTATCTTCTGCGTTAGCCTCCCGGCTGTACGAAGGAAGAAACTTACCTCGCTTGTCGCAGATTCCGCCAAATTCAATGTCGCACGCAATTGGCTGCTAGGAAACTGGAAAAAGGCGCGATGAATTTCGATCATGATAAAAAAAAGGCTCAGAGGGCATAATGAAGTGCAATCCCGCTAAATCTAAAGTTGAAGCCAATTGAATAAAAATAATTTTTTCCCCCCGCGATTTCGTTTTCTCTATACTTCTTAGCCCGAATGCCTTAGTTGGGAGTCCGAAGCACCGTCTTAGTGCCGAAGTGCTCAGAATCAAACCGATACAGATCGACAAAAGATAAAATGAAAAATGCATGCTGTCACATTAGTCAATTCGGTACCTGTCGGACTGCAAATGAAGTTTAAGTATGAAAAAACCTATATGTATTTTTTTTTGCATGAACCATTCGGATCATATTCATTTGACTTGCTACGAAATTTTTTGCGTTGTTGGCTCATGGAGTCATTCTTTCCCTCGGTATTTAGATTTTGAAGTATGGCCCGTGAAGGCAATAAGCCTGAAGCGGCTCTAGAGGAAGCCGAAGGCGACACGATTCCCGAAGAAACTAAGATCTGCAGGAACTGGTACGTTCGAGATGAAAAAAATTCAGTTCGAAGAAATATTTTCTTCATTTGTTATCGTCCGTGCCCAGCACTCGACCCATTCCGTCGACGGCGCACGAGCTGCACGAGCTTCACTGCAGGCGAAACCTGAAGAAATGCCCCCTGTGCGACGAGGCGATCCCGACGTCACGGATGGAGCGGCACGCCAGCGAGGACCACGCGATCGTCCCATGCCCCCGCTGCAAGGCCGAGTGCGAGAGGAGAGCGCTGGAGAAGCACCAGGTCCGAGTCACCTGCACCGACCGAGATCCATCCGACCGAGATCCATCCGGCCGAGAGCCATTCGACAGACATCCTGAAAACCGCAAATGCTTTGCCCTTAGGAAGAGGAGTGCCCCGAGCGGCCCCGCGCCTGCAAGTACTGCGAGGAGGTGATGCCCCTGTCCGGCCTGCCAGCTCATACGAACGCCTGCGGCGCCAGGACGGATGTCTGCCCCGACTGCGGCAAGTACGTCCAGCTGCAGCACTGGGATCTTCATAAGGAATCTGCGCATCCATCGACTGCACCATCGAGTCAGTTCTCGACGACCCGACTATCTCGGCTAAATTTCGGCCGTCTCGAAATCGTGTCATGCTTTCTGGGGAGCGAATTCTCCAACTCAATATGGCTTACCAACGTGCATATTTGTGATTCTAGGGGAAAATGCCGGAAGCGAAGCGAAGGCTCCCTCCATTCTTCCTTCGACCGGTCGGTTCATCCACCCTTCCTTTCGCGTTTCGTCCTTCATCTTTCCAGAGAGAGCTCAAGAGAACGACATGCTTCTCGCTTTTCTGCAGGTCACCACAAATCCATACCGTCACAACATGATGAAATCCCTTGCGAGAAGTGCTGCCAAGTCTTCCCCATTCACTCGATCCCCAGTCACGAGGTATCCTCTTCGGACCACGAAACAGGTCGAGTTTGAGGTGGATTGAATATTCCCGCCGTTCCTCTCAGGCTGCATGTGGGCTTCACCCCATCGTCCCGTTCTTCCCTCCGACGCCCTCCCCGGGCCTTCGACCGACCGAGACTCCAAGCCTCTCCCCACACGGGAACTACAGACTCCCGCTCCCTCCCGCTCCGTCGAACAGGTAGGAAATATCGGGAAGAATTTCAATGGAGAATTTCTGCTTTCGACTGCCCTTCCCCTGTAACGCTCGAGGGCAACGGAAAATAATCTTTCATTTTCCTTCGCCGCCAACGCATTTCAGGCACATCCCCGCTGCGAGCCCAAGAGCGAACCTTCCTCGATCCTCCCCGATCGAGGACGACCCCGAGCCGGTCGCCCGTCTGCCCTCGGGATCCTCCTCGATCGAGGACGACCCCGAGCCGGTCACCAGTCTGCCCTCGGACGTCCTGGCAGGCGCCGACGCGGAACCAACAGCTCCAGGTGGACCCCTCGGTCTTCTCCCACCCTTTCCACACGAATCCAGCAAAAAAGTCCCCTTTTTAAATCAAGTTTTTTTCTTCAGAGGCGAAAGAAGCTTCAGAGCACGAAGAGTCCAGCGAGGAGCGTGCAGTCGAAGCAACGCACGAAAACGGGCAAGTTCCTCAAGTGAGTTTCCATCTTTGGCAGTCTTTTCAGGCGCTTTGCCCGATGAAGAAAGGTCTCTTAAAGAAATGTCTCTTTTTTTTTCAGAATGAACTCGATGCAGCGACGCCTGAGAGAATGCACCCCAAGAAAGCCCAAATTGGTAAAGCAATTCTTATTTTAAATATCCAGTAGTGATTTGGAAGCCTGAAAATTAAAGTAACTTGATGGCTTCTTCACAGAGATTACTCCTATTTAGCTTCTTCATTTAATTTCATTTTTTATGTAATAATTTCATAAGTTCATACTTTTGATTTGCCGTAATTGATTCCGGAATCCCACCACTCATCTCTTCACATTTTTCGACCTGGACATTTGAAAACGCCCTCAACCCGTTCAAGACGAGTCCCAACGAGCCGGAATAAAATCCGTGGAAACAAATTTTCAGAAACCGTTCCCGGCCGAGCAAAGGGGGAGCCGACCGGCACGACCGGCGCCGACCTCGTCCGGTGCCAGCGATGCTCGCGGCTGGTCGTGTCCGACATGCGAGACCTGCACAAGGTCCCCTGCATTTAATTATTTAATTATTTATTTTTCGATCAATCGTCGTTATTTTTGTTGGATTTTTTTTTCTCGGCAGAGGTATTGCCCCGGGGTCGTCGCCGCTAACGACTCCCCTTCTCCTCGCCGACCTCGCTTGCCGGGTCCGATGGTCATCGAGAGGTTCAAGGAATCCGTCAGTCTCATATATTTTATTATTATTTTTCTTGAGTTATCACAGATGCGAAACTATTAAAGAGGAGGTCACCCATATGGGCTCAAGGAGCAGAACGACCTTTGGCCTTAAGAGCTTTCTCAGATAAATAAGGTCAAACCTCCTAAAAGTGAGCTTACCCTTGCCCTTTTTTTATTCAGTGGAGTTGCCTAAAGGCCAAAGGGGAAAACGGAGACGAGCGTCTAAATGCGGCAGAAGATTCGCCGCATCAGTCTGCTGCCAGCAAGTACCAGAAACAGACTCTGGACTCGCAGGAGGTAAGATTTGATTTTTGAAAAATTATATTTTCGCTAAAAACAAAATGCATGTTTGGTAAAAAAAAATAAAAAAAAAAAATTCGAAAGATATATAAATACTGGTTCAGAATTGTTTAGTAAAATTTGATTTCAGATAACGATTTGATAAAACTTGATTTCAGGTAAGAATTGAATGAAGATTGATTACTGGTGACATTTTCATAAAATTTGATTGCCGGTGACCATTTGATGTATACCGTTGAGGTGATGGACAGTGAGTCACCTTGTAACAGAATTTCCCTCTCCAGGTTTGCCGTTCAGGAAATGCTGGGAGAAGCGAAGACGGACGCCTTTGTGAGTCCCGTCCACCTGCCCCCCTGCAGGAACCCATCTCGGAGAAACCGACCGGAGAGGACTCTCGGATCAGCCCTCTCGCCCGTCTTCGAATGAACTGGCAAATGAAGGAAACGGATCGGGAATTCGGAGATTTTCACCCGCTTCGTCCACGCGAAGGTAGGATCGTCCCCGCCGACGCTCGCAACCATGTCGCCGCGGATCGCGTGAAAAAGCGAACCCGAAAGAATAGACGAACGGAAACGACCCTAAAACCTTCAGATCCGAGCTCGGCCCGTCCGGTCGGAAGTTGGAACCACGCCTCATATGCCATGAGCTCTTCAAATGCCGGATACTCCGACGAAGGCTTCCTTCATGGCGGAGCAAGACCCAAAGTCTCCCAGGGACCTCCAAATTATCGCACTTCCAACAGGTTCATTCATCTCCATTTCTCTTTCGTTGTCATCAGAGCGGAGTGGAATTAGGGAATCGTCAGGGTTGACAGGATGCAGTTGTATGAGGAGAGAGGAGATGCAGGATTCGCGGAGGACGAAGTCATGATTCCTTGCGAGTTCTGTTCACTGGGAATCCCCATCCAAAACCTGATGTCGCATCAGGTGAGAAGCGCGACCAGTCCGTTCCCTCTCTTTCATTCTTATATTTCAATATGTTTATGAAATAATGCCTCTGTGAGACTTTTAGTGTATAACATCAGCTTTCCAGAACTAATAGCGACGGTAGCCGCGTTGGTAACGGTCGGTACCGGTAAGTACTGAATGTACTGGAGGTACCGAAGTTACCGGAGGTCAGCTTCGACCGCGCAAAAGGCGGTCAACAGTGACCAATGCGGTCGCGTTTAAAAAACCGTCCTCAGCTCATTTCCCCCTTCGTTCACTCAAGCATGCACATTTTCATCTAGATTTCTCTCTCATGCCCACACCGGGCGCGCTGCTCGTGCTGACCGAAACGGAAATATGCAAAGGGAATGGATCCCAATCCACAATAGAACCATATGTTCTCTTCCAATGTTAAATTCAAATCCGATATCAATTGTTATTCAATAACAGTTTTTTTTCACTTTACATCCCATCTTTTTCTCTTGTTGACGAAGACGAAGTGCCAGACGGGGAATTTGATGGAAAGTCCCGAGAGCCAAGTGCCCTACAACCCAGAGCGAGGAACCCCAGCAACTTCTCGGTAAGGTGAAAAGGGAAACAGTCGATTCGAAGATGAAAAATGGGGAAAATACTCGTTAAATATGCTATTGCATGAGAGAAAATGTAGGCATTTTTAAATATCCCTTCATTCAACGTCACAAATCGGCTGACGAATAGACTGTTTTTCATTTAAACAAAATGTATTCATTTTTTCATGAGCTTCCAGAAATTTTATTGGAAATATAGCTTTCGCCGGAAGCTCGTGTTCTCGATCTCTAATTGGCTGTGTCCATTTTCCAGCATCCATTTAATTTTTTTTTCTCTTCATGTTGAAGTGCCGGCAAAAGAGGTGGCAGGACGCGAGGGTTCAGAGGAGCAAGAGGCCGAAGATGGGTCCAACACTCTTGAAAAACAGTTAAAAGTTATCACTTTCGCCATGCTGCGAGTTTGAACTTGGAAACTCCTCGTGGCGGAGTTGCTCCTATGGTGGACGATGCGGAAGGAATTCGTCGCGAGAGTGCAAGCAATTCTTTCGTGGCTTCTGCGGTTCCGTGCAGGTTTGAATGCTTGTCTCCGGCAAGAACGGACGCGGTGAAGTTCTACAGGGTCTCGTCGGATTTCCTGGCCGATTTCGATGAACCTTTTTTCTTTTCTGGCGTGGAGTCAACTCTGGTTTTGATATACGGAATGGCTTCAGAATCGGGAAGAAATGATATTTTGCACGGAGTAAACCCTCAAAAATTGGATTTTTACATTCAAGTATTTGACTAAATTAAATTTCTTTGATATTCATGGGTTCATTCGAAGCCGATCCGAGTGCAATGACGATCGATCGCCTGGCTCCATCGAGTGTTCCAATAAATGACATTTCCCAGCAGAAATGAATATTTTGTCAAAATAAACACTTGTTTGAATCATCTGAGGGACAGCAGAATAATATTATTCAATCTCTTTAAATAGCACCTGTCTCCCTTAATATCCAGAAGCGCCTCCTTAGGTTACTTTCTGAGAATAAATATCAAAAGTATGAATACAGAGGTATGATAGATAACTCAACGCCTCATGCTACCTGGAAAAATTAATGGATTTATGAATAATTGCACGTGTTAAGTGACACACAGTTGAATCCTCTGGCGGAAATGCCATATTTCCAATCCGAATGATTCGTTTCGTGCGAAAATGCGAAGTTAACGTGAAAATGCGACGTTGACGTGAAAATGCTTAAGAAAAACCTAGTGTGTACCACGAAGACCGAAATTACTCTGTCAATGCTTGCGCACCGATGCAACCCTTATGGATCTGATGTGAAAGATGGGTTTCACCTCAAATTTCTTCTAGGTCTTTATGAACGTGCTTCCGTCATGTGGAAATCAGCTTAATGGTGCAGAAAAATGATACACGATCATGACGTGTTTCTCTGGCGCTCGATCCCAAGTTCTGATTGGGTGCTGCACTCAAGACGAGTATTGTACTGATGACAGTGATAAGTACTGATAACAACGATCGGTACACAGCACCATCCTCATACACTTAGTGTTTAAAGTGCAATTGTGAACACACGTTCGGCCTTGAGCCATTTGCATGCAGAGTAGATTCGGCTGAAGACGGATGGAAAGCCATGGTACTCGGTCTGCATGAGCTCCTTCCCAACAAAAAGTAACACGAGAACTTCCTTACAAAACTTCCACCCCCTATTCACCTGGTCAAAGAACCAGGTGGATAGGGGTGGATTTGGAACAAGGTTGACGTCCCCCCCCCCCGGTGGAAATCCACCTATCCATTCGCGCACATGTATATCGAGCCAGGTGCATATTCCACCGGGTGGACATCGTTCCAATAGGAGGAAGTAGCGCCTAGGGGGATATCCATCCGGTTCCAAATCCACATGGGAGGTGGACTTTTACAAGGGATGGCAGGGATCGCCTTTTACTTTTGTATTTTTATTTGTTTCCATGCGTATCACAATGGAAAGTATTTATCTATGCATGGCCTGTTCAATGCCCCTCCCCCCTCCACCCCTTAAGACCTTAAGGATATTATGCGTGCATGAATCACGATGGATGCAGTGTTGCCTCTTTCGGGTCTAGAAAATGAAAGCCATGAGTCTGAGAGTCTGATTCTGGATCGATTCTTGCTCCTGATCCCCTCGCAATAGGAAGCCGCTCCACGTTCCCTCGTGTCAAATAAAACATGACTCAAAATGATCCACGGAACGCTGAGGTGCATCCAGTCCGCAGGTCGTTCAATTGGATGCCTAATGAATTAGTTGGATGGCGGGGAAGAGCATCGATCGGATTGCTCTCTCTTACAAAATGCGCAGAGCAAGAATCGTTTCGTGGGATTCAGAGATGTCACGCGAGAATTTAAAAAAAGCCAATCACACTGCCATCAGTCCCTGTGAAATAACGGTTCGTTGCTGCGGCAACGCCATGACCATGCATTCGATAACTTTTGGGATACCCTGGACGCCCAGACGAGGTTGAGAGGATCGAACGCGCGATGTGGACGAAGCGACTGTCACCCATTATGATCTGTGCCGCATTGCTATGGAATGCGGGGAAAGTGTCGGAAGCGGACGGGAGCAAGGGGGAAGCGCGGCTGAAGCAGGCCTTGTTCGAGGAGTATCCGAAGATCCGACCCGTCGCGGACTCGCGGGATCCCCTCGTCGTCTCCTTCAGCCTGGGCCTCTTCCGCGTCCTTCAGCTGGTGAGTGGGACCTCCCGACATCCCCCAAACTTTTTCCTCGAAAAGGCCCTTTGGTGCATCGCGGAAATGCTTCGTTTCTGTCCGTAGGATGTGAGGGGTCAGACGCTCGGCACCCTCGTCGAGGTGGTCGAGCGATGGAACGACACCTACCTGCGATGGAACCCCGAGGATCATTCAGGAATTAATCGGATCGCAATCCCATACGATGCCGCTTGGATTCCTGATATCATCCTCTACAACAGGTAGGAACAGCGTCATGCTTCACCTTCACGAGTGGCTCCATCCAATCCGTTTTGATCGTTTCATCGTGATGGTCAGACGAGACACCCTCTGCGTCCTTCATTTTCCAGATATAAATAAGGATACGGCACTCGTGATCATCAGGTCATTGTAGTTTCTGGACTTGGATCACCAAAGTTTTTTACCAGTTTTTTTTTCTATAGGCTCATCTCATCTTAGGACTATATGAGTCTTGACTTTTGGCAAATGGAAAATTTTTGAAATAGTAGAGACGATCTTGGAACAGAAGCAATCGCGACCAATTCGCCGCATCTCCCCCCAGAGATTGTTTTCTATCTATGCGTCCGTTATATCATCAGGCGTTTCATTAAGGCTGTGCATTTTTTTCTCCTGATGCAACCCCATTCTTCATTTTCTTAATTCCTCCTGTCGTTGGAGCCAACTACTTCTTCTAAAATACCCTTTAAAAAAGACCCTTTGCTCCGATGACTCCAGAGAGCTGAGACTAATCCGTATTTTCATGTGGGTGCAAAAAAAAAATAGCGCATCGGAGGAATACTCTGAGGGACTCCTGTCGACGTCCCTCGTCCTGGATCACACCGGGGAGGTGATGCTGGAGATCGCGGCTAACTTCCGTTCCTCCTGCAACGTGGAGGCCAAGAGCTTCCCCTTCGACAGGCAGACGTGCACCATGCTCTTCATGTCCTGGACGCAGGAGTCCGACAAGGTCCGTCTGATGCAACGAGGCCATCCGTTTTTTGCTGCTTGTAACCACTGTCTGTGGGTGGAAGGACCATAACTCGTGCGGCTGGTCTTTTTGAAAACCTTCGACGATGATTTCGTATTTCTTTCAATGCGTCGACTCTGGCGAATGTGACCATACTGTAAAAAGATCATCATCGTCATCATCATCAGAATTAGATCTTAGAGAACCAGATGCTAAGGTTGCAATGCCTGATGTCTGTCGAATTTTCAGAGAGAATTTATCGTATGCATCCTGCCATATCATCTTACTTGTTCGTCGCCTGTCAGATCCAGATGAAACTGGTGGGCGACTTCGACCGAGAGCTGCAATCGTACATGGAAAGCTCAGAATTCCAGCTGGAATCGTACACCGCCGTGCAGAAGCCCCACGTGGACCCGTGCTGCGTTCATCCCTTCTCGGCCGTGGAGTATTCCATCACCATCTCCAGGAAGGCGACGTTCTTTCTCGTCATCAACTACATCCTTCCCGTGGTCGTCATCGATGTCATCGGTTTGGTCGCTGGACTCTTTTCGGTTTTCACAGGGCCTATTGGCTCAAATGGCTGATGCAGGCCGATTGATGAATACTTAGTGAAGTGATGAATAGTCATGACCTGGGTGCACTGCATGCTGCCGTACCTAAGCCAGAAGTAGGTACCTATCATAATGTGAAGTTTTACAAAGGGGATGGCGGAAGGCATAAAATATTAGAATATCAACTAATCAATCGATCGCATGAGAGTTCTTTGCCTAATAGTACGATTTGATGAAAATCCAAAGTCTGAAATGCCGGGTACATTCAGTTGCCTCCCATGTCACGACTCCAGAATCACACCGAATTCGTCTCAAGAGTATGATCAGCGAATTGATGCAAGTTGACATCCTCGGTTGGGGTACAAATCAGGGAGAAGTTGGCATATGTATTTTGGCACCCTTGATCGAACAAAGTACCTTCAGCCTTCCCTCTCGAGAGATTCATAAAAACCGGTGGTTCTACCTAGTGTCGAGAATGGGATGAATCGAAGGGACAGAAATATTTAAATTACGGGAAAAAGGATGGAGTAGAAGGGTGAAATGATAATTCCTTAATGGACCGATGTGTAAACAGAACTTGCGAGTCGTTGCATCTCATGGAATATCGCATAATGCAGCAACAATAGACAGTGATAGTTTCAATATCCTCATTAGCAAAGCCACCACCAATCGCCACTCAGGGAGATGCCCTGAACAATCCGATTCATGAAAGAATATTGGGCAAGAACGAATAATAAATCAAAGGTATTTCAATTGGGAAGGAGTCGCGATAGTTTCGTTCTCCTTCGGTCTTTAAAATATTACACTTCCTGGTATTTCGGATGAAATCGTTTAGATATTGCAATCGAGATAGGTACTAAAGTACGTCTTTGATTTAAATATATCGCAAGAAGCAATTATTAGAGATTCTAATCCCGCAAAAGCTGAAATAAATTTTAAGACAATCTATTGGAATACCCAACTTACATGGTTGAATTGTGTTAGCCCTGTTGTCGTTCCTGGTGCCATGCGAGAGCGGGGAGAAGGTGACCCTGGGGATCACCACCATGCTCACCATGATCATCTTCCTCACGAGCAGCCACGACCTCCTCCCGCCTACCGAGCACATCCCCGTCATAGGTTTGCTTCTACTTTTCTTCCTAACGCTTAGGTAGTCATTACCACGGAGCTGAAGTCCAAGCATGAAGCAAGCGGCACTTCCAGCCGAGGACTCCGAGACATGTACAATTATATTAAGAAAAAAATATTCATTATCTTCGAACATAAAAATTCGATAATCCAATTTTTCTTTAAAGGGAAGTTCTACTGTGCCTGCATCTGCCTTGTCGGACTGGAGGTGGCCTTGAGCATGTGGATTCTTCACGTTTTTCACCTGAAGGGCGTCCATTTTCCACAGTGGACGCAGAGATTGTGTTTGATTCTGGCAAAGTTGCCCTTCATGAGACAGCCGAAGTTCAACGAGGTCTGTTTTAATGGCTCTCTTTCCATCGACTTTCTTCTCTAGAGAATGCGAAGAAAACCTAAGCACTTTATTCTTGAGCACTGGCGTTTGAAAGACGTCAGCTGCTGTGAGTGATTCTTCTTCGGCTATCAAGCTCCAAAAGATCTAAATTCCCTCACTTCATGATGAAACAGGTCAGAGGTGAGAAGGGGAAGGAAAAGGAATTGGACGAGGACAAAGGGATTTGGGTTCAGCGATCCCGCAGGACAAATGGTAGATTTTTGTTCTCATTCATTTGCATGAGTATTAAATGTATGGGGAGTGAGTACCAATTCAGTACCCTTCGTTACCGCGAGATCAATAAATACACGTTGACCATATAATGCAACGGTCGAGACGACCAATATCACTCGCAGATGAAGGTCATCATATTCATAAGATGATGACAATATTACATCCCAGAACTTTATGTCGGAATCCAGCCAAAAGGTGACATGATACCCGAAGACAGCATGATGCTGCATGGGATGCTGAAGCAGTTATTCATGGTCATCTCCTTCTTTCTAGAGGTCAGATATCGATAAGAGGACACTTTCATACCCAGGTCGTGTCATGAGGTCATGCAAGCCAGAAATGAGTTACCCTACACTGGAAGAACACGGAAATGGGAAATCACGAAACTCAGCTCCAGAGATAAGAAATAAACCTTTCGACTTATACTTGGGGAAATCAAGCGAGTCAGAGCCATTTACAGCCTACAACCTACAATTACCGATTCTCTTAGTTTCATGTGGAAGACATTAAAATTAGCACAGTTGGGAAACTCACGCATGAGATTCCGGAATCCAATCCTTTCAGACATTAGTATATTCAAATTTTTGTATCACAAATTTCTGATTTAATTACAAAGTGTTTACAGTAAATAATTCACTTGGAGATCGTTAGGTGTCATATCCGTATCAAAATAGCAGAAATCTTATTTTTATTTCAGTCCAAAGATTCTACGGTTAGTTGCGAAATTAGAATGAAGTTTGAGGTTCATCGTGTTTAAAACAGAAAAAAAAATAGATATATATATATATAGTATCCCGCTCACTACTGATTTTGTTTGCCATCCCATCATGCAGATAATTCCCTAGGATATCAGCCGAGCCAAAGTTAATTGTCATCATGAGTGGATGTTGGCCATTTTCGTGTTTGACAGGGCATCAGAACCCGACACTCTCCACCACGGACGGCCAGGGGCAGTGGGCATGGGGGCGGGAGAAGGAGACGTGGATGGCACGAGGGCGAGCGGAGTTCGAGGTAGACCTGGAGAACTGGAGGATGGCCTCGAGGATCCTGGATCGATTCTTTCTTTACCTTTTCTTTCTTCTTAACGTCGCGATCCCGATCGGAATCATAATGTCATCCCAGTGACTCGTCTTACGTTTCCCCGAATGTCTTCAATATTTTGAGTCTTGATTTCCACGATGTTCCCTCATTAATCCCACTTACAAGAGTAGAATCATCCATTCCTGAGGTATTTGACGATAATGGAGGCACTTCCTCCAGGATCTGAATTTAGCATTGCCTATCGTGCAAATGATTTATTATAATTCAAATATTAAAATGTCATAGAGTTCATGCGGTGTGCCATCACCCATTATTGTTTCCGTGATGTCCATCTGAAAAAGGGGAAATATCTGAGGCGGAAATAACTTGTGAATAACTTTATAGGTTCTTTGAATAATGGTAAATCCGTTTTTTCTTTAAAGCCTCATATGGAATCTCATGAAACTGTAAATAACGAATGATAATTACTGTAGTGAACGTGCATAACAATAAAAGCATTCATGTCCTAAA